GGGACCGGCCATCAATGACCTTGGAAATTAGCTTGAAAGTGGTGAGTCACCGAAAAATGGACCAGTGAGGGTCGAGAATGGCCGGTGGTGCGGAATGACTCTCTCTGGGCGCGGAAGTTTAAATTTTATAAAAATAATAGGAAAAATAGGGGAAATAGTCAATTTTAGTGTGAAAAATAGGGTCTATCTGTCAGTTTCAAGTGGTATATTTGGTCAACATCCATTTCTTTCGGTACAGTACTAAGGGCTGCTTAATATTAAATCTTCCCTGAGAGGGTCTTTTTAAATGATGTGTTCACTTTCATTTTAACTCTTTTTTCCTCATGTATTCTTCATACAGGTCTACCTTCTGGCTGGTTTGCCATGAATGAAGTGGTGTGCGCCATGCCTTTTGGCCTTTACTTGCAAATACTGAGTCCACCCAAACTGCCACGCATTCTGTTCCGTTGGCTTGGTATGAACAATCATTTGGTTGACCTAAAGCCGGACGAATTGGCTCGATTGGATGAGGATCTTCGAAAAAGTGGTCATCCGGACTTGCCGTTAACCACCTTATTACGGATTCCTATGAGTCGCCTTCAGGCCCCAGGAGGCGGGTCGGGTCGTCTCTATTCGTGGTTGACGTCACAATCCAAACTGAATTCAATGCGACGCGCGATTGAGGAATTGACATTACATAACTTAGTTGCTGTGCTTGAACGTAAAACACCAGAGGGACGCATTGTGGTACGGCTATTTGAGCTTATGGTGGAAGCGTAGTAGGGCTTGTTTTTATTTGAAAACTAATTGATTTGGCCTTGTTATTTTGAGAAGGTAATAGCCTTCCTCCTGTAACTGCCCATTCGGATGGAAATCGGAAGAGTAGTCAACAAAAATGGTCCAAACATTGTCGCAGTTCACTGCTCATAAATAACTGCAATAAAATGCGAATCACCCGAGCTACGAGAACCGATTTTCAATATTTTGTCAAAATGCGAATCAGTTGATCTCCAAAACCACGAAGTGCACAAGCTGACTGTGGATGCACACTTCCTAAACTATTCTGACCTGTTAAGAAGTGATCACAAGAACGCCACGGCTGTCGCAAGGTTACGGTTTCCTTCCGTGTCACCGAGTAACAAATTACGAAATCTTTTGAATCCCCACTTGGAAGACGAGATACATACAATCGACCTCTTCTCCACTTCATCGGTTGACTCTTACGTGATTTTTCTCACCGCAGATCAGCAACTGCAAATAAGGCGCAGAGGAGCGATAGATGGCATGCGGAATACGTGTCTTAACCAGTGAAGTCTACTAATCTGAATTTGCTGTGATAGCGAGTTCTTCCTCGATAAATTCTCAAACATATGATAGTTTGCCACAGTATCGCTTACACGCTTACTTCATCCCGCCTGCGCCAAATGTAAAAATCGACTGTTGAAAACCGCTTACGTACTCGCATATTCATGGTTTCACAACCGTAAATCGAATCTGACCGAACGGCGGCACCATATGAACGGCCATTCAACTACAGTGACGAAAAATGTGTTTTAATCCTGCGTATGCTGTTCGAGCCCTGAAAACGCGTGTGGTTATCTCCTTTACTGAGCTATTGTTATGGGTCACGCAAATGCATAGGCAGGAGAAGCAGTCAACTTCGACCGATTCCAACCCATCTAGTGTCAAGTTAAGACTGATCGACACCCAGTTCTGCAGTATCTCTTTTCAGTCTGAAGTTTCGAAATGCATGACGAAAGGACCGACAGAACTTGTCAGGTATACTCCATACATTCGACCAAACAGAGGATATTATTGGCGTACTTTTCTCCCACTATCAATTCAATATCAACATTCTAGTGTTCAAATAGATGCGTAGAAGCTCTATATCCCTAGGCCTATCACTATGTTTGATGTTCCACCATATGCGGTTTTTCATTCTTTGCAGTTCTCATTTAATGTGGGTATAATTAAAGTTGCATGATTCGCCACATTATGTACAACACACTAAATGTTTTCTAATCTCCCAGCCCACCGGCTTTGTTAAACGCTATGCATCTCTCCTGGACACTCGGTATGCCTCTCCAGGGCGATATTTATTGACCGAAATGAAGGACTGCTATATACTTCACTTTCATTTTGAAAATCCAAGCGATGTATCAGCTTATTGGGAGACTTGCGAAGTGATTTGTCGTTATACTCCTCTCGGTAAGTGTTATTACATTGATGTATCTACTTAATTAGAGTATTGAAGTTCACTGTGTCCTCTTTTGATGCCATTGACTCTTCGGCTGTATCTCTCAGCGTTAGTGCCGTGTTTCTCTTGGATTTTACAAACTTAACATATCTCGATAACCACAACCTATAAAGATCGGACATTCTCGTGAAATAAATTTCTGACACTTGTGCTGACTTATTACAGCCATGCTTCAGCGTCGTATGAATATAATTTGTAGGCAAGTTAGCTTTGAAATGCTTTTTACATCTAGCAATCCCCATATGCCCATGGAAATCCAATTTTACAGTGTTGTCACTAATCGGCTGCGTTAGTCATGCGACTTCTAGTTATCCAGTTCAACGTGATTTGCATAACTCATTGTGGGATCGACATACTTCACAAACTACCTCTCACGGAACTTTGTTTCTCACTTAGAAGCTCTACCGATCGAATGAATCACAGCTTTGTCTGTCATTACATCACAATTTCTGTTTTTTTTGATAAAAATATGCCCTATGGAAGCTATCGTGTAATCTGCGCGGTTGGCCACTGTATTCTTTCCCTTTTCATTTGAAACGCGTTGTCTTTACGTGAGAGTAAGCCAGCTTCCGAATCCACGAAGAGGCCTGAGAATGGGGCTCGAATTGATATCGTCAATACCGCTTGACCTTTTTCTACAAGGATATGCTTTTATGGTTGTACAGCCGAGTACTACCCGTAGTACAGCAGGATGATGCTAATGACCTTATTGTTGGGCAACCAGCTTCCTATATCTCGCAGTGCTTCTCACGGATGTTTGTGGTTTCCTGTAATAGATAAAGCATTTTTGGACAAGAGCTTTTCCCACGGAAACGGAAACTTCGGCGAATATAATTCTCTCCCGTCATCGCGGTGTTATTAACATTCACAAAAGAATTTTTCACGTTCCGAGACATCGATGAACCATTATCGACCCATTCAAGGTCAGATGCCTTATTATTCGCGGTCTACGGGCGATGCTGGTCGCGTCCATCCCCGTTGGCAGTAGGCCTAACGAACTCCCGCCCCCAAGACAGTTTTTAATTACATGGATTTTATGAATTATCTTTGATGTGTCCGTGTTACTGCATTTTGTTTGCTTGTGCGTTTGTGTTCGCAATAAGGTTCTTGAAAGCGACGTTTCAAAGCTCTGGGTGGTGTTCGTATGTTGAACGTTTCAAGAGTTAAACAAATGCTTAAATTGACGGTATATTCTTTCTTTTGGCTTGCATATCACCATGATCTATTAGTTCGGCGATCATTAACTGAGAATAGTTGTACGTTGCTGTGGTTTACACATATATTTTCCTCTGAGACATTTTTTCTTTCACTCATCTCAGGCGTTCGCATGCTCAACGATCCATTAGATATAAACAAGCTTCCTTACGGAAGCATTCAGTCCTATCGCACCCCGGAGGAAGTTGTAGACGATGGCTCCCTGCCAAAGTTGCCTTGGCAAGAAGATATATCTGATTGTCGGTCGACTACCCTTGACGGGCTGATTGTGGCTCCATGTGGCGCTGCTGGTCTTCATCCTATGGATTTCTTTCATCGTCATCAGAATTGGAATGTGTCTCGGCGTGCTTACACGGGTCCGTACAAACGTCGAAGACCAGCTTCTTCTTCTTCGTCCTCTTCAACCGGTAGTGAATCTGAATCGATCGCAGAATCCGAAGACAAGACGTCTAATCGGGACATGATTCTCAGAACAAAGCGCATAACACACACATTCTGGCCGGGGCCGGATCTGCTTTTTGAATGTAAGTTAATCATGAACTGTGTAATACAGTTGTCCGGTAGAGCGTCCCATCAGTGGATACGTGGCATTTTAACCACGTGAATATTTCTATTGGTAACCTTTGTCCCAGCAACCGTTTTCAGTTTTATAAATGCGAATAGTTTGACCTTTAATATTCTGCGAACTTATACAGTATGATTTTGGCGATCAGTGAACAGTGTTCACTGAAAACCGGGTATGAAAATGTTAATTACATCCTTTCTCTTAACATCTACCAGAAGTAATCTCTTCTAAATCCTAGATATGCTTCTACGCATCTGTTCCTTTTAGAGCACAGTGCATGGAGGTGAACTTGATCGACCGTGTTTACGGTCTCCGTAGTTTTAAAGTGTTAATCAATACGAGGCATGTGATTTTAAGATCCAAAGTTTTTCTGTCGTAGAAAGCTACCACAGGTTAATTCACCTCCGGCTTGGTCTTCCATTTGAGATGAACGGTGCATATAATGCATGAATAAATGCTTATCTATGTGTATGTAGTCCTTTTTACCTCTTCTTAAAAATTTCCTCTCTGCAACGATTATCGTTCAATTGTATGTGATTAATCGAGCGGATTTGTCGTAAACACTAACGGACAAAGTAACCGTGAGCTTGTATTGAAGCATTTCTGAATGGGTGATTAGCTTCCATTTCATTGGTTTGGCTCCTCGTCACATCGTGGGTTAAATTTTTCTGTTAGCACCATCTTGTGGCATTTATTTCAGTGTGTAGGCTTAGCGATTTTGCTTTCGCACTTTGACCAGTCGCCTAGGTCTCCGGTTGGCGCCCAAGATAGCAGGATCTATATGTGGTCCGAAGTCATACATTGGCGAAGCCTCATTCTAAACAACCGGCCTGAATAGCCAGTCGTCTCCTGTTTAGGAGGTACACTCGGTGGCCGGTTTCGATATAAGGCTTAATCGTTGACACGCTTTTCTAAGAAGTATCGCAATTAACTGATTAATCGTTGTCTTACCCAAATCGAGCGTCGTTTTCATGAACCTGTTCTGACTGTTCGTGATTCTGTAACCACACGTATTATGGCCTTAGACAAATTCTCATAGTTATTCCCATTGTAAACTACGTAATCATTTCCTCGATGTCTTCCCTTTTAATCCACGGTCCCTCTTTATCTTCGCATGTGTACCCGAAGCAACTGGTTTCCATCCTAACTTCGATCCATCACCTCCTGTGAGCAAATTGGCGGGGACAGTGAAGCGCGGCTTTTTCGAACCAACCGCACGGACACGTTATGCCCCAGAAACACCCAGGACGTTACGATCCAGGTTGAATCGCAAACTATCACTTCCTATCGTCGCACCGACGGTGCCCCCTGAATCGACCCCGGGGTCAGTCGAAGTGATTGACTTGAACCCACCTCGCCGATTTCGTCGTGGAGCGGGCATATCGAAGTTGCGTACTGCATCTAAAGCTGTGAAGAAGTACCGTCGTATTTCGAGTGTGTAGTTTGCGTCTAATCCTTGTTATGTTTTACCGAAATTGATTTATCTATCATTTCTTTTAAAATTTAGCCCCATGAAGGCTAAAGGTAAATGAATGACCAAGGATGCAAGTGAGAATGGAAGTGAATTAGCCTACCCATGGTTTCATTCAATTCCACTCTCTGCCTTGATGAAACCCACAGCATCTTTATAATAGTATGAATTCATTGTTCAAATTGATTTGTTGTGACAAGCTGGTTCTAAGTCATTTTTGAAAGGTTTTTATGAAATTTATACCCAACCCTTTTCCTAGACTTGTGAGGTCTTGTATTTTTCTTCACTAGAACCCAGTCATTGCAATAGTCTTTTATTTCCTGTTTATTTAAATAGTGTACAGTTGTACAGACAGTTTTCGGGAAGGAAACTGCGGTCAATCATGGGATGCCTAGGGAAATACAGAAATGGTGTTTGAACTTGCTCTGATAATAACCTTGGCCGCTTCACCACTACCATCACTTCCGCCCATAGTCAAGTGACCGATATTTTTAGAGCTTTCTGTCAATAATCCTTTTTCCCTTTTTCCCCTTCTCTTTGTCAGAACATATTCTGCGTCATTGTATCTACAATACAATTGGTGAGTTTTTTGTCCGTTCACAAGAACTGCTCGTCCACTATTCCTTCCTTCCACCCCAAATATAATATAAATATGCACTATAATTGAGTAAGTTAACACCTGGGGTCAGCAGTGACTTATCCTGGTTTTCCTTTCTAGAAAATTTCCTGTTCGCACACGGGCTTCAACCAGTTCGATACACAAACGATACTAACTTCTCCTCGATGCGGATAAATTGCTCTAGAGATCGTGATGTTTTACAATTTGATTGAATACATGAATGTGGTTAAGCGGCAGAATTCATCCAGATGATGATATGTGAAATTGTCATGGATACTTAAGAGATTCGCTTCAAGTATCACTGCTATCCTGGAGGGGATATTTTTCAACATGAATTCATTTTTATTCTCATTTACTAAATGGATTTTATGCCATTTGTTTATCAGTTAGTTTGGGTGCAGGAATTGACAATTTAAGCCAGGGCACTCAGAGTAGCGAGCCGTGATAAACCTGTGTGAGTTGCTGCGAAGTTGCTTGACAGTGGAAGGCTTCTAACCGCGGACGTTCAATCCCGGTACTCGCCGTCTGTAGCCACTGGCGTGATCCAAGCATCCCTTCCAGGCATAGGAAAAGGTGGGAGATTACTGGAAGTAAAAAATAAGGATTTTTGATATCTCATACCTATAGAAAGATGGTCAGTGGAAATGCATCAGCCCGTAGAATGAATGAACTCTTCGTAGTAAATGACAGGATACTAGGGCTTGCGTGACGTTCTCTCGAGTGGAGTAGTCATCTTACGCTCCGTACATATTATGGCATTTGCTGTGCTTTCAACTGAGTTCGTGTAAAATCTGTAAGACGACTCAGGTAGGAGTGTAATAGTGTGGTGTCCAGTACACGACATAATATATCTGCTTAGTCCTCGTATCTCGTTTCGCCATTCAGTGGTGATTGTTCGGATGAACTTTATTACTCCTGAATAATATAACACTGCTCAATCCCACAGGATGCTCTACAGAAGGTGATGTCCGTTTGGGTTACCCTTCTGTATTCCAACCGAACTTTGTGATGTTTGTGTCGTTTTTGAAATGGTGCTGTCCCCGTTTGAGGATAGCGGCATCTGGATGATTTGAGTATTAGTGTTGCATTTCGAACCCCCAAAGGTTGAGAAGCTGTTGCAAAACTGGTTTGGTCCAGCCCACAATCT